ATCCAAATGGATCTTAAGTGTAACTACAAGCGTTCTTGAAAGAGAGATAGAAGACGGCTTGACATTGACAGGAGAATGCAACATGCTATGGGAGGCAGGATACGGATTGGTGTGGCCATGAGTTAAGGAGCGCTCAGAGCATCAGATGCTGGAAAAGGCAAGAAATGAATTCTCCCTAGAATCTCCACAGTGAAAGACATAATCTAATTTAGTCTCATAGGATTTAATTTGGATTTTTGGAATATACTTCTGTTGTATTAAGTCAACACATTTGTGAACATTTATCACATAGCAGCCTTTGGAAATGAATATGAATGTCAAAGGATTGATTAAATTGTTAATACAAATCCCTTCCACTTTCATCTACTTATGCAAATGTGGTTTTAACAATATATTTGCAAAAATAAGAGACAACCAAAAACCCTATGTGTAAGTCTACATGTATGTATGCGTATAGGTATATATTTATACAGATAAGAATATATGTATCTATAGATGTACTTTTATTAAAAGGTGTTCGTATATTTATAGAAGCAGCAGTGGCATCCACTTACTAAACAACATGCCTCTGGAAACTCTATGAACTTTGATAAATTGAAAGGCTTTAGGCCTTTTTTTCATAGAGTGCTTGACTAGATGGCAATCAACAACACAACAACATCCTTTGTGTTTAGCTATGTTACTGTATCAACTTATATTCATATATATGTAATAAAGAGAGAAGGGTCAACCATTATGGATATTTCTTAGATATAAACAAATATCTCATTAAATTATATTTCTGAATTAAGACCATAGTTTAGTGGAACATTTTAGTCACCTGATTATTATATAATTCATAAAGCTGTTACTCTTGGTGGTATTGAATTATATGTTCCACTGTTAATCAAAAATCAAAGGTTCAAAGTCACCAGTTGCTCTAAGGAAGATACGGATAGTCTATTCCCACAGAAAGGGAAAAACTTCAGAAACCCAGTGAGGATCTATATGAGTCAGAATTTACTTGATGGCCATTGTAGTTACATAGGGACCATATTTCTATGCAAACAGCATGCACTTTTTAAATTTGTTTGCCAGTTGCTCCTTCCCTTTCCAGAAGGTATTTTTCTGCATGATACATTTATTTTTTTCCAACAACATGCAGAAAATAATTCACACAGCACTATTTTCATAACTACCTCCTGGGCCGAGAGAACACGTGGCAAAGAAACATAGAAGATGTTTATTATCTACATAAAATACACAGTGTTTGGAGCTTTTTAAGTTTGGGAGTAGCCATTTAAGATATAACTATTGGTCTCAATTTGTCTGAAACAAGAGAGAATGAAGAAAATCAAAGAGTTAACAAAGAAACCAGTCTAAGGGCAGCCTACTCAAAAACTGGCAAGGACTTCCTCTTACTTAGATCCACAATCAGTGCACTTAGAACCAGCAGTCAGGAGATGAGATGTATTGCACTGGCAGTCTGAAGTCAGAGATGTAGTCAGTGATGTCAGTTTGAGGGCTAAGGTGAGTCTGATTCAGTCATTTGCTATGTATCTGAGATCTGGGCAATGACTAAGGACGGCAGAAGAAGAACTGAGGTGTTGGGAAACTGGGCTGAATATCCCACGGAGCGCCGAAAGAGGAAACAGTTATGTGTTAGATGAGCTGCAGCCAATGCTCCTGGAAGGCAAAGATGATGACGCTACATCTCTCATACTCTGGACATATTGCTAGGAGAGGCTATTCCTCTGAGAAGGACATCATACTTGGGAAGGTGGGAAGGCAGTGAAGGAAAGGAAGACTCTCAAGCAGGTGGTCTGACACAATAACTGCAGCAATGGGCTGGCAGACCAAAGATTGGGAGAATGACACAGGATAGGACAGGGTTCAGATCTGCTGTTCTTAGAGTTGCGAGGGGTCATACGTTACTTGCACACCTAACGGCTACAACCTACAAATCTACCACTCCCAAGCATTCTAATCAAGGCTACATTAGACAAACCCTGAAATAATGTAAGGAAAAAAAGATAAAAATAGCTTTTTTAAAAAATAACCCCAAACAGAAAACCAGATCTACAGCAGAAGACTAGAAGACATCCTGAAATCACTGCCCAGAAACACACTTCAGACCTTGAAAAAAACCAACCCCTCAGGTTGCTCTG